TTGTAAATTCTACACCTTCTTAAAAAATGTCAAAACCACTCTTTAACTTTTGCAAAGTGGAGGCAGAGAGTAGCAGCATCAGGAAAACCTGTCAAGTGGCCGTGGTAACAGTGTACAGGGAGTTTTTCCACAGTTCATTATAAATAAGAGCACATATATCTCACACCAGTGTACCTGAAGTATCTACCTATTTAACATTCCAATTAAATATTATGTTTTGAATAAACCTTCCTTATCTCACTTGAATAAACAATCACAGTATCGGCTTGGGAAAAAGCCATTTGATAAATCGGAATCTGAATAGTGATGGAGAGACATTTTTGTAGCAGATGACAGTCCCAACAAAAGGAACATTTTCACATGTCCTGGACTTGTTCTGAGAAAACCTGCACACTTTGCCTCAAGCATTTGCACATTTGAGAGACCTGCAGGGCATTTACAAGAAATAAATTGCACACAAAATAAGGTCCTTATTTTAAAATGCAAATGGATAGGAAGTGCAACAAAAAAGTACCTAGAAACATATGTTTGCAAATGGGGGAAAGCTGCTGAAATTGAAGAAGTTATTAAAGTAAATGCACATATTAGGGGGAAATGTGTAAAACAATTATCTTTATTTCACACAGTATGGAAAGAAAAAACAATTTGATAAGAAGCAAAAATAAGAAGGGAATACAGGTGAGATTGGGCAAAATTCAATAGAATGAGTACAGAGAGATTTTTCCATACTTAGGTTTTTATAACACCTTCCAGTTTTATTTGACAATGGATACATCTACACAGTAGCAATGCCACGTTAAATGCAATGGCATCATACAATTTCTGGAGAAGAGGGTATAAATAAAAACAAACAAACAAACAAATCTTCATGTAATTTTAAATTACTGTTTTGAATGCTGGGGATCATTCATATTCCAACTCAAAAGTTTCATTACTCTTTCCCCAGTTAATTTAACAGTGTATTAGCTTGCCAAGGTTTTAGTGGTAGCTAGGATTTCCTTTGCACCATTAAACTAGTCTTTAAGCCTTGACTTTTTCTAGAGACATGTCATCTAATCAGGTGACACAGGACTTGATTAAGTTCAGTTTGGATTACTGCACTGTACCCTACATGGAGTTGCCTTTGGAAATTGTTGTACTGTACCCTAGTACAACAGCTGCACTGACTATCAGTACATTTCAGAACATACTTCAAAGTCTTCCTCATGACCTATAAAACACTACACAAAGAGTTTTTTAAAGACTGTGGGACTCTACAGATGGCCCCTAAGGGGCAGCTCCATGCTTCCTATGGGAGTGCTGGATCAGAGCCTTTGCAACCACACGCAGCAGCCCTGATCCAGCTCTTTGCAGCTCCAAAAAGAGCTGGCAAATGCCACTCCTTTTTGGAGTGGCAAAAAGCCACCCTTACTGCTGCCACCACAGCTTTTCTGTGCTCCTTTGGTGCAGTGTGTCTAAACTCTGCACCAAGGGAGCACCCTGATGCCACACGCTGTGTGGTGGAGTGCACGGCATGATGACAGCATCAGGGCAAAGTTGGGGTGGCCAGCGTTCAGTTGCCATGCCCTAACTCCACCCCCAGGCCAGCCCTTTTGGTCCTGTATCTCCAACTTCTCAAATGGTGATGGCTTCAATATTTTGTCTTAGTTTCATCATTTTAGCAGGCATGTTTGGGGAATATGAGGGAGAGAGTATTTTTGGTGGCTTCTTCCAGATTGTGGGATTCCCTCCCATAGGAGACTAGCTTGGCCCCCTCTCAATTCCTTCTGCTACCAGGCAAAAACCTTTTTTTTTTTTGACAAATGTTTAGTCCTTAATGCAAAAAGATTTTGACAAATGTTTAGTCCTTAATGCAAAAAGAGGGTGTAGCACTTTTTCCTCATGTCTTATGTTTCATTCTTACATTTTGTTATGCTTTAAAGCAGGGGTCCCCGGACTTTTTGATCCGGGAGCCGGTTCGCTGGCCCCCAGATCTTCTGGGGGGCCAGAGGCGCGCATGCATGCATGTGACTCCGGACACCATTTTGTCTTCCAAAATGTGCACGACTCCGGATGCACATGGCTCTGGATGCAATTTTGGAAGCCAAACTGGTGTCCTGTGGCAGCTGCATGCACACGGATTTGCACGCGCATGTGCATGACTCTGGACGCCATTTTGGAAGCCAAAATGGCATCTGGCAGTGTCCGCGAGCAGCAGCGGCAAGAGCAGCGGTGGCGGCAGTGGCAGTGATGGCGGTGGGCTGGTAAGAAAAAATAAAAAAATACACTCATCCCTCCACATTTGTAGCTTTGGCTTTGACTGGATTTAATTATTCATGGATTTTATTAATATGTTCTCTCTAGAAATATCTAAGTCATCCAGCGCAACTCTATGGTCAACTTTAAGCAAAAGTTGCACTTAAGATTCCTAGAGAGAACACTCCACTAGGCATTTGTAGCTGCTCCAGCACAATTCTATGGACAATGTCTGGCAGATGTTGACCACAGAGTTGCCCTGGAGGACATAGAGATTCCTAGAGAGGTGTTCTCTCAGGTAAAAACATAGTGTTTTTGTTATTTGTGGTTTTTCACGGGGGGCCTGTGCCCCTAACCCAGCAAATTTGGAAGGATGAGTGTAATGTGATTGACTTTAGTTATATTTCTTATGCTGTAAACAAGTGCTTCCTAGACCACCTGATTTTGGGAGCTGGCATTTTCTCCTATATGTGCCAGGGGGCAGCATTACC